ACCATTAATAGTTGTAGCATGCCTGTGGTCTCGGACCATCACATTGTAGCATGCCTATGGCCGCCAATCTTCACCTTGTAGCATGCCTGTGGTCTCTGACCATCACCTTGTAGTATGTCTATGGTCTCCGACCTTCACCTGTAGCATGCCTGTGGTCTCTGACCATCACCTTGTAGCATGCCTGTGGTCTCCGACCATCACCTTGTAGTATGCCTGTGGTCTCCGACCATCACCTTGTAGTATGCCTGTGGTCTCCGACCTTCACCTTGTAGCATGCCTGTGGTCTCTGACCATCACCTTGTAGCATGCCTGTGGTCTCCGACCATCACCTTGTAGTATGCCTTGTGGCTGTGGTCTCCGACCATCACCTTGTAGCATGCCTGTGGTCTCCGACCATCACCTTGTAGCATGCCTGTGGTCTCCGACCATCACCTTGTAGCATTCCTGTGGTCTTCGACCATCACCTTGTAGCATGCCTGTGGTCTCCGACCATCACCTTGTAGCATGCCTGTGGTCTCCGACCATCACCTTGTAGCATGCCTGTGGTCTCCGACCATCACCTTGTAGCATGCCTGTGGTCTCCGACCATCACCTTGTAGCATGCCTGTGGTCTCCGACCATCACCTTGTAGCATGCCTGTGGTCTCCGACCATCACCTTGTAGCATGCCTGTGGTCTCTGACCATCACCTTGTAGCATGCCCGCACTTACCTCTTCCGCCTTCCACACTGCCTGTCTTTTGAGCTGTGCTAATCAGTATTCTGATCTGGAATACCCCCGTATGTGTTGGATGTCTACAAGGCTTCTTCTGTTTGCCCATGGTGGACATTGTGATTGTGATGTAATCCATCTGCCTCTCCACTTCAGCCAATCAGATAAAGCCTGTTATTTATGTCTTTTCCTGAATGGTGGAGAGGTACTCGGCCTGACTGTTTTTAATTCCGGCCGTACTGCTGCCAAAACAGTGCCGCTTACTGCATGTAGTGGAAAAGGTTGGTTTGGGCCGCCTTGAATTCCAAGGTAAGATTAGACTTTCTAGGGCTTTAGGGTGATATAAAGGGTGAAGTCTTTACATTTCCAGTCATGAACAGTAGAATGTAAACAAATGGAGCTTCCAATATGTCTCATCAACAGAAGGTGACTAAACAATCAACTTCTGTTTGAGGTGGGGAGACCACACACTGATCACAATCTGTCTGGTGGCTTCTGGACTGGCCAAACTTCAACCAGTGTATGGTCAGCTCTAGGCTATACGTAGCATTCAGTTGGCTCAATTCACAAAGACAACAATCCTGGATAGGGATCCCTATTTAATAAAGTGACATTTATTTCCCGTGTCCAGAGAGATTTAATAACTGCAATCTCATGGCTGACATAGACTTGGTTTGTCCTTGTGAGCTGAGCCTACATGTATATTCTAGTGTGGGGGGGTCTGTGAACTGTTACAGACCAGTAATTAGTCTACAGGGGGACATTTGTGGGCTAAGATCCTCTAATATGATAAAGGAGGGAGATCTTGTTGGGTTGCAGAGCTGCAGATAATTATATCATTAGTTTCCTGTTCTTTTAATTCATCCTGAAGCTCATTATAATACAATTTTGGTAAACAACATAATTAATTCTACATAATAGTGTTTGAACTTTTGTGTTTGAAAATAAGCTGTTCATTGGAAAGTCTCATTTTGTAAAATAAAAAAAAAATTGTTGTTTTTCCTTTTTTGGGTCAATTAAGAAAAAATTGAGATGAAACAAATCCTCCTACATACGTTGTACTTGTTTATCTGCAGCTCCCTCTTCTCTACAGCTGTTCAAAGTGCTGAATTAATAAACCTTGTTTGAGATTTCAGAAAACAGGGGGGGGGGGGGTGGAGCTGAAGTTACACTCTTCAGAGCTCAGTGAGAGGAGCTGTGAGAGCTGATTGTAGGGAAGGGAACCCCCCCCCCCCCCTTCACACAGAACACAAGAGCAGAGCTGAGGCTGTCAATCACAGGCTGTGTGCTGAAGCTCCCTCCCCATCACCATTTTTGTATTGGTGTCAGGAACATCTGTCAGAAGTATCTTATGCAGATAGCAGAGGAGCGAGGCATCAGTGAGAAATGACACCTAGTGCTTTGGATTGCGACAACTACAAACTATACAGGGATATGCTTTGTTCATATTTCATGTCAGAGGTTTACAACCACTTTAAAGCTGAACTCCATGGTATTGGCTTTAATGCATAGTTACATTGGACCGGCTTAGACCAATGTAAGTGTACATATTCCATACCTGTCTGTTCCCTGTGGAGGTGGAAAATCACTGCACCAGTACTACAGTCATCCTCATTGTTTTCTGGAACCTGTGCCAAATGGCATGGGATCCACAGGAGGTTGCTCGCTCAGCATGGGTGCCATACAGAGAATGCCTTGAATTTTTCTCAACAGATAAAAAGCATTCTCTGATTGGATGTGGTGGAGAGGTGGGGTGACATCACATTCTCCACCTCGCCCAGTCAGAAAGTGCTTTGTATTCATTGAAAAAATACAAGGTGTTCTCTGAATGACACCCATGTGGCTACTGTGTAGCAGGGCAGCTGCTTGGCACAGGACAAACTAGCAAGGCTGACTTGGGGTCATCCCCAGTGACACCGATACAGTGATCAGTGCAAAAAAAAAAGCACTGACACTGTACTAATGGCACTGGGGAGGAAGGGGTTAACATTTTTAGGCAATCAAAGGGTTAACTGTGTGAGGGGAGTGTTTTATTAGTGGGCTGGGGGGTGTTCTTCACAGGAGCTCACTGTCCTGGAAAGTTAAGCTCTGCTCTCCCTCCAGAACAGTGTGCTGGAAACTGACAGGGAGCAGAGCTGCATTGAAAACAATTCAACTGTGCTTGTGTCAGTGTTTGTTGGCAATCGCCAGACCCGGCGGGTAATTACACCCGCGGACGCGATCGGTGCCATGGGCAGGGCGCCTCGAGCGCCACCTACAATGTAAACAGGATGACATTTATAAACGTGAGGGCTCTGAGGAAGTCACGTGACTTGAATGACGTAACGCGTAGGCGCGGTGACGCACTTCCGGCGCGGATGCCATCTTGCTGCACCCAAATTGAACACCCATGCAGATACACCCAGAACATGAGGTTCTGAAATGCTGTTTGTCTAAGGATCAACATGTGAGCGCAATATTTGGATTTCTGTACTTTTATCAAGTTTAATAAAAGGTATCACACTATGGGAGGGTCTATCTGTGTCTTCTGAGATGTCGGCTCTTACCACATGTTTACCTGGCGAGGATTCTGCTACTTATATGTACATCCCAGGGAGTGAGATCGCTGTGGGGGGAGAGATCCAGGAGTAGAGGAATCATGTGCATGGAGGGTCTGTGGTAGTGATCCAGAAGTGTTTTCACCCCTTTGCAGGTCGAGCAAGAAGGTGAGCGGCCAATCCGGCTTCTGACGGATACCCTCCTGTGACTACTCACGTACACCATCCACGTCCACGAGTACAGTGGTGTAGGGCCACAATTTGGACTTTTTTTTGCTAGTTTTCCACTTTATTTGGAGTCATGCATTTGGCATAATATAGGTTCACATTTGTTCATAGTATTGATTGTGTTTGATTTACGTATATTGATTGGATATGAAAACACTTTTTTGGGATTTGGATATTTTATGTATACATGTTTATGCACGTTTTGCACTTTTCATGCGTTTTCTTGAGTTTAATTTTGGACGTATCACTCTTTAGTCTGATTTGGGCTAAGTTTATATATTTGTTTGCACCATCACTTTGGATTCTAACTTTGGCTGTATACACAATTATACCAAACCATCAGTATTGCTAAATCTGAAATTACCATCTTTTAGGTGGTTCAACATTCACTGCGTACACTTTGGATCAGTTCACTGATTATAGATCCCTGGAGGATCAGGTCACTGTTTATGGTTTTGTTGCACATTGTGTCACCTTTATACACTTTTTCATTTATATGTTCATTTCTATAGTATTAATATCAATATTTATTTATTTCAGGTACTTCTATAGCACCTCAATTTACGCAGCGCTTTACATATATATTGTACATTCACATCAGTCCCTAACCCTCAAGGGGCGTACAATCTAAGGTCCCTAACTCACATTCATACATACACATACTAGGGACAATTTAGACAGGAGCCAATTACCTACCAGCATGTCTTTGGAGTGTGGGAGGAAACCGGGGTACCCCGAGGAAACCCACGCAGACACAGGGAGAACATGCAAACTCCAGGCAGGTGGTGCCATGGTTTGGATTCGAACCAGCGACCCGAGTACTGCCAGGTGGAAGTGCTAACCATTTAGCCACCATGTTGCCCGATTATTATGATATTATCAGAGTAGCGCTGCATCACTTCCGTATTTTTATATCTTGTATCATTTGGGTATATGATTGGATGTTAGCAGCTTCCGTTATTTAGACTAGACAAAGCTTTTTTAGGTTGAAGCGCAGGAGGTTTCCACCATTATATCTTGAGTAAGTACAGAAAATTCATTTAGCTTCTACTTCCTGGAATCCATCTGCTGTTAGCTCAGGCATGCAGACAGGAGGATGTGCTAGGGTGAGAAAGTCCCCACTCCTCTCCTCCAGATGAAAGAAAAAAAAAACCCGTGAAGACTCCTGGGATCTATGACATCATAATGGCCCAGAAACCGGAAGCAACTCAAGAAATGTGAACAAAAAAGTTTAAGACAAGTAAATAGAATATATCTTCCTAACTATCTAGCAGTAAAAGGATTAAAAATAGGTAATGTTGATTAAGAGAGAGAGTTTAGCTTCGCTTTAAATTCGGGCTAAAGTTTTATTTGTAAAAATGCAGTCTGCATCTCTTGTATCATGTCCGCAGTCTCTGACCATCTCTTGTATCATGTCCGCATCTCTCTGACCATCTCTTGTATCATGTCCGCAGTCTCTGATCATCTCTTGTATCATGTCCGCAGTCTCTGATCATCTCTTGTATCATGTCCGCAGTCTCTGACCATCTCTTGTATCATGTCCGCAGTCTCTGACCATCTCTTGTATCACTGTCCGCAGTCTCTGACCATCTCTTGTATCATGTCCGCAGTCTCTGACCATCTCTTGTATCATGTCCGCAGTCTCTGACCATCTCTTGTATCATGTCCGCAGTCTCTGACCGTCTCTTGTATCATGTCCGCAGTCTCTGACCGTCTCTTGTATCATGTCCGCAGTCTCTGACCGTCTCTTGTATCATGTCCGCAGTCTCTGACCGTCTCTTGTATCATGTCCGCAGTCTCTGACCATCTCTTGTATCCTGTCCGCATTCTCTGATCATCTCTTGTATCATGTCCACAGTCTCTGACCATCTCTTGTATCATGTCCACAGTCTCTGACCATCTCTTGTGTCATGTCCACAGTCTCTGACCATCTCTTGTATCATGTCTACAGTCACTGACCATCTCTTGTATCATGTCCACAATCTCTGACCATCTCTTGTATCATGTCCGCAGTCTCTGACCATCTCTTGTATCATGTCTGCATTCTCTGACCGTCTCTTGTATCATGTCTGCAGTCTCTGACCATCTCATATATCATGTCTGCAGTCTCTGACCATCTCTTGTATCATGTCTGCAGTCTGACCATCTCCTGTATCATATCCGCAGTCTCTGACCATCTCTTGTATCATGTCCACAGTCTCTGACCATCTCTTGTATTATGTCTACAGTCTCTGACCATCTCACAGCCACCCCGTGACAACAAAACAAGAGGTCTTTAGAAAATCTTTATTGTCATTTTACCAGCTTGACCTCCATGGTCCTGTCACATATTAATAAATGGCTGCCTTGCCTATTCCTGAGACAGGACCTTGGAGCTTACAGCTACAATCCATAGCCCCACTTTTACTTAAAGCAGAACTCCGGGCAAAACCTTCATTACATGTCCTTGCTGATTTCCTACCTTCACTGAATATGTCTTCCATCTTCTGGTTCATTCAGTAGTTGCTGTGAAATAATCTTTCATTTTCAAGTCAAACCGTTAATGTTCCTTGGTTTCCTGTTTGTAAGAGCCGTGGCTGCTATGCCACTGGTCTTGGCACATCCCTTCTGTAGTTCTTTCTCCAGGAAGCAGTGATGTAATTCAGCCCCACTTGCAATGGTGGGCAGACCGAGACTCTCAGACACATTCAACATGTGCAGGCCTAGTATACCCGCCCACATGTCTGCAGTCTCTGACCATCTCTTGTATCATGTCCGCAGTCTCTGACCATATCTTGTATCATGTCCGCAATCTCTGACCATCTCCTGTATCATGTCCGCAGTCTCTGACCATCTCTTGTATCATGTCCACAGTCTCTGATCATCTCTTGTATCATGTCCGCACAGTCTCTGATCATCTCTTGTATCATGTCCGCAGTCTCTGACCATCTCTTGTATCATGTCCGCAGTCTCTGACCGTCTTTTGTATCATGTCCGCAGTCTCTGACCATCTCTTGTATCATGTCCGCAGTCTCTGACCGTCTCTTGTATCATGTCCGCAGTCTCTGACCGTCTCTTGTATCATGTCCACAGTCTCTGACCATCTCTTGTATACTGTCCGCAGTCTCTGACCATCTCTTGTATCATGTCTGCAGTCTCTGACCATCTCTTGTATCATGTCCGCAGTCTCTGACCATATCTTGTATCATGTCCGCAATCTCTGACCATCTCCTGTATCACCCAGCAGTCTCCATGTATCATGTCCACAGTCTCTGATCAGTATCATGTCCACCAGTCTCTGATCATCTCTTGTATCATGTCCGCAGTCTCTGACCATCTCTTGTATCATGTCCGCAGTCTCTGACCGTCTCTTGTATCATGTCTGCAGTCTCTGACCGTCTCTTGTATCATGTCCACAGTCTCTGACATCTCTTGTATCATGTCCGCAGTCTCTGACCATCTCTTGTATCATGTCTGCCATTCTTGTGTCTGACAGTCTCTCCATCTTTGTATCATGTATCTGCATGTCTCTGACCATCTCTTGTATCATGTCCGCAGTCTCTGACCATCTCTTGTATCATGTCTGCAGTCTGTATCATGTCTACCATGACTATCCTTGTATCATGTCCACAAGTCTCTGACCATCTCTTGTATCATGTCCGCAGTCTCTGACCATCTCTTGTATCATGTCGCAGTCTCTGACCATCTCTTGTATCATGTCCGCAGTCTCTGACCATCTCTTGTATCATGTCTGCAGTCTCTGGACCATCTCATTGTATATCATATCTGCAGTCTCTGACCATCTCTTGTATCATGTCTGCAGTCTCTGACCATCTCTCATCATATCCGCAGTCTCTGACCCCTCCCTGAGCCAACAAAAAAGAAGTCTTTAGAAAATCTTTATTGTCATTTTACCAGCTTGACCTCCATGGTCCTGTCACATATTAATAAATGGCTGCCTTGCCTATTCCCTGAGACAGGACCTTGGAGCTTACAGCTACAATCCATAGCCCACTTTTACTTAAAGCAGAACTCCGGGCAAAACCTTCATTACATGTCCTTGCTGATTTTCCTACCTTCACTGAATATGTCTTCCATCTTCTGGTTCATTCAGTAGTTGCTGTGAAATAATCTCTTTTCATTTTCAAGTCAAAACCGTTAATGTTCCTTGGTTTCCTGTTTGTAAGAGTGGGTGGCTGCTATGCTACTGGTCTTGGCACATCCCTTCTGTAGTTCTTTCTCCAGGAAGCAGTGATGTAATTCAGCCCCACTTGCAATGGTGGGCAGACCGAGACTCTCAGACACATTCAACATGTGCAGGCCTAGTATACCCGCCCACATGTCTGCAGTCTTGACCATCTCTTGTATCATGTCCGCAGTCTCTGACCATATCTTGTATCATGTCTGCAATCTCTGACCATCTCCTGTATCATGTCCGCAGTCTCTGACCATCTCTTTGTATCATGTCCACAGTCTCTGACCATCATCTCTTGTATCATGTCCACAGTCTCTGATCATCTCTTGTATCATGTCCGCAGTCTCTGACCATCTCTTGTATCATGTCCGCAGTCTCTGACCGTCTTTTTGTATCATGTCCGCAGTCTCTGACCGTCTCTTGTATCATGTCCGCAGTCTCTGACCGTCTCTTGTATCATGTCCACAGTCTCTGACCATCTCTTGTATACTGTCCGCAGTCTCTGACCATCTCTTGTATAATGTCTGCAGTCTCTGACCATCTCTTGTATCATGTCCGCAGTCTCTGACCATTATCTTGTATCATGTGCCGCAATCTCTGACCATCTCCTGTATCATGTCCGCACAGTCTCTGATCTTTACTCTGTATCATGTCCGCAGTCCTCTGACCATCTCTTGTATCATGTCCGCAGTCTCTGACCATCTCTTGTATCATGTCCGCAGTCTCTGACCGTCTCTTGTATCATGTCCGCAGTCTCTGACCGTCTCTTGTATCATGTCCACAGTCCTCTGACCATCTCTTGTATCCTCGTCCGCAGTCTCTGATCATCTCTTTGTATCATGTCCACAGTCTCTGACCATCTCTTGTGTCATGTCCACAGTCTCTGACCATCTCTTGTATCATGTCTACAGTCACTGACTATCTCTTGTATCATGTCCACAATCTCTGACCATCTCTTTGTATCATGTCCGCAGTCTCTGACCATCTCTTGTATCATGTCTGCATTCTCTGACTGTCTCTTGTATCATGTCTGCAGTCTCTGACCATCTCATATATCATGTCTGCAGTCTCTGACCATCTCTTGTATCATGTCTGCAGTCTGACCATCTCCTGTATCATATCCGCAGTCTCTGACCATCTCTTGTATCTTGTCTGCAGTCTCTGACCATCTCTTGTATCATGTCCGCAGTCTCTGACCATCTCTTGTATCATGTCCGCAGTCTCTGACCATCTCTTGTATCATGTCCTGCAGTCTCTGGCCATCTCTTGTATCATGTCCGCAGTCTTGTTATGACTCATCTCTTTGTATCATGTCTGCAGTCTCTGGCCATCTCTTGTATCATATCCGCAGTCTCTGACCATCTCTTGTATTATGTCTGCAGTCTCTGACCATTCTCCACACAGCCACCCCCTGACAACAAAACAAGAAGTCTTTAGAAAATCTTTATTGTCATTTTACCAGCTTGACCTCCATGGTCCTGTCACATATTAATAAATGGCTGCCTTGCCTATTCCTGAGACAGGACCTTGGAGCTTACAGCTACAATCCATAGCCCACTTTTACTTAAAGCAGAACTCCGGGCAAAAACCTTCATTACATGTCCTTGCTGATTTCCTACCCTTCACTGAATATGTCTTCCATCTTCTGGTTCATTCAGTAGTTGCTGTGAAATAATCTTTTCATTTTCAAGTCAAACCGTTAATGTTCCTTGGTTTCCTGTTTTGTAAGAGCCGTGGCTGCTATGCCACTGGTCTTGGCACATCCCTTCTGTAGTTCTTTCTCCAGGAAGCAGTGATGTAATTCAGCCCCACTTGCAATGGTGGGCAGACCGAGACTCTCAGACACATTCAACATGTGCAGGCCTAGTATACCAGCCCTTGTATGTCCACTGCAGTCTCTGACCATCTCTTGTATCATGTCCGCAGTCTCTGACCATATCTTGTATCATGTCTGCAATCTCTGACCATCTCCTGTATCATGTCCGCAGTCTCTGACCATCTCTTGTATCATGTCCACAGTCTCTGATCATCTCTTGTATCATGTCCACAGTCTGCTGATCATCTCTTGTATCATGTCCGCAGTCTCTGACCGTCTCTTGTATCATGTCCGCAGTCTCTGACCGTCTTTTGTATCATGTCCGCAGTCTCTGACCGTCTCTTGTATCATGTCCGCAGTCTCTGACCGTCTCTTGTATCATGTCCACAGTCTCTGACCATCTCTTGTATACTGTCCGCAGTCTCTGACCATCTCTTGTGTCATTGTCTGCAGTCTCTGACCATCTCTTGTATCATGTCCGCTCCGCAGCTCGACCGTCTTCTTTGTATCATGTCCACAGTCTCTGACCATCTCTTGTAACCTGTCCCGCATCTCTGACAATCACTTGTATCATGTCCACAGTCTCCTACCATCTCTTGTGTCATGACCACAGTCTCTGACCCATCTCTTGTATCATGTCTACAGTTACTGACTATCTCTTGTATCATGTCCACAATCTATGACCATCTCTTGTATCATTCCGCAGTCTCTGACCAACTCTTGTACATTGTCCTGCATTCTCTACTGTCTCCTTGTATCAGCTGCAGTCTCTGACCATCTCATAAATCAAGTCATGCATCTCAGACCATCTCTTGTATCCATGTCTGCTAGTCTGACCATCTTCCTGTATCATATCGCAATCCTCTGACCATCCTCTTGTAACAGCTTGACCTGTGGCCCTGTAATATTAATAAATGGCTCCCTTTGCCATTCCTGAGACGGCCCTTGGAGCTTCAGCTCAATCCAAAACCCCAATTTTCTTAAACAGAACTCTGGGCAAAACCTTCTTTACTGTCCTTGCTGTTTTTCCCCCTTCACGGGAATAGGGTCTTCCATCTTCTGGTTCATTAGTAGTTGCTGTGAAATAATCTTTTCTTTTTCAAGTCAAACCGTTCATTTTCCTTTTTTCCTTTTGGGGTTTAAAGCGGTGGCTGCTATGCCACGGGTCTGGCACATCCCTTCTGTTTTCTTTCCCCAGGAAGCGTGAGTAATTCAGCCCCACTTGCAATGTGGGCAGCCCAGACTCCCAGACACATTCAACATGTGCGGGCCTAGTATCCCGCCCACATTCACTCTTCCCCTGTGGTTGGGGGAACTTATTTCCTTTTACTCAAAAAAAATTTCACCCCCTTTCCCTCCCTTTTACAAAATCCTTTTTTTTA